CAAGCAAAACAGTGAAAAGAACAAAGATGAGTTTCTCTTTTTTTGTCTGCTTGTTTACTCTGTACATTGATAGCATCTTGTCTGTTTCTCTTTCTCCTAATGGACAAATTTCCTTGCTGTTTCTATTGCTCTTCCAAACCTTCAGGCAGAAGGGGAAGAAAAAACGGCAGTCTAAGCACAGCAGAAAAATGTCCATGAGAAATTACAACAGGATAAAAGTGAAAAAGCTTTATAGCTGAAATGTATCTTCCTTTCCCATAGACAGATAATTCCAAGCTGCTGCAGGCCCTGTAAGTCTTTACCCCATGGGGAAGCACAGGACTTTCCAGTAAGTACTGGTCATCTCATGAAAATGAATGGTTAATAGTCATGGAGAAGGAGCAAGCTGTAATTGCATGGGTGGCATGAAGCAGGTTGGTGCAGCCTGACATGAAATGGCTCCCTCAGCCCACACACTGGGAGATAGGCTCTGACAACAGCAGCTGGGCGATGACTGGTAGAGGCACTGCTGATGTGCTCTAGCAGGGTGCCTCATTGGATCTGCAGATGGGACAGGACCGCATCTCCTCCTGAGAGCTGTGCCTTTGGAGGTTCCCTTGCTTCTTGCCTAGTGTTGACCATGTACGTTGCCCAGGGCCAGGCACTGAGTGCCGGGCTTTGTCCTTCCTGTAGATCCCTGAACACATCCTGAAGCATTGCATCCAATGCCTTCCCTTTGGCACTGTCACCATGAATACTCATCTATGGAGACGTGTTAATTTTGCCCTTAGGGCCACTTTCACACAGTAGGGTAGATGCCTTCACAAGGCCCATGATGATCAGTTATGGGTGGTGTATGGTGCTGCTTGTTGTCACCTGCTGTTCCATAGCCCTTGCAAAGCATGGTGCACTTGATGCTTAGACTGGATGTCACAAAGACTGAAACACCATTGAGCTTCTGCTCTAAACTAAGATCTTCCAAATATCTAATGATTGTACGAGATCTTTACTGGACCTTTTTCAGGGCTAAAAAAACAAAGTGTTCAAAATTGGATAAGCTATACACTGGGAATTAAATTGAAAAGCAAATTTGTAAACCCTTTGAAAATCGGACTACCTGAGCTTTCTCCATTTATTTTAATCAAATCGAATCAAATCAAGTAAGCTGAAACTGCAAAGAGAACCAACCTGTATAAATCCCAGTGCAGCCACATCCAAAAGAACAACAAAATTTAACCCTGACATACATCTAGAAGCATAAGTAATTCCCCAAATACACTTTTTTTTGTTGTTAAAAGAGCCTTGTTGTTAGCAGTGCTTCCAGTGTCTGACCAATACACAGAGCAGAGGATTTTTCCATTAATGTAGTGCTCTGAATGTGCTTGTTGTGAAACACTGAGCACACGTCACTAGTGTTCACTTTAAGCCAAAGAACATCTTTGATCACAATCATTTGATTTTCTATCTTCTCCAAACATTACGTCTTATTTCTATTGGACTCTTTGTTCCTTGTAAATGCAAAGCAAATTCTTGCAGTACATCAAGGGGGAAAAAGCAGTTGGATAACCAACACAGAAAACAGCACAAAAGTTCTATTTGATTAAATGAAGAAAAATCAAATTTCAGATATCCTGAAGTCTCTAGGGCATCACGCAAGAAATTCAACAGACAGGTTAGTCCTTGTGCAACTAATATGCCATCTCCTGACATTTCTAACATGTCTCCGCAGCATGATTTTTATAGTAGCTTCTTGAGGTTGCTTGAGAATACCTAAAAACATAAATAAATGGATTTTTTTCCAACTGCCAGGTAAAGCACTAGAGACAGGTTTACTTCTGTTGAGTGACATACATTTGGTCAGATCCCTTCTGAACTAGAATCAATATTAGCTAGATCCATTACCTCCTGCTTCATTGGCAGTTTGGGTGCTTGCTCAAAACACAATCCCTCCTAGTAATGCAATAAAGCCTTCACCTTGGAGATAATTATGTTGTCTGTGATATAGTATCCACTGATGGTCATTTCCCTGCTGATTTTGGTTTGCTGCTCCAGCTCAGGTTGCAGTCTCCATTACTACACACTCTTATGTCAGACCATCTGAGTCTTGTCACCTACTAATTACCGTAGTAGATTTGTTTAGATTTTATTTTAATAATTTTTACTCTTCTATAATAACAGCAACCAGCTAAACCTCAGAGCGTCATCAACACACTTAAAAATGCACTAAAATGGGTTTTTCAATTACCTTGGTATTTAATATCTTGGCCACAACACAGATATCACTCACTCTAACAAGGAATCCGTCCACTGAGGGAGGGATGAAGTGACACTCCGCTTCCCAGCATTTCCTTTAGGTCCTCAATGGACCCCAGAGGCTAAAAAATTCAATCTCCAAACTGGGAGTAGAGGCGAGCTCCACAAAAACTGTGAACACTCAGACTTGCCAGCTGTTTTTCCCTACCTCACCTGCCTGATGCTTTGACGAGTTATCAATTTAAGCATCCTCACTTGTCACTAATTTCATTACTAATAGACAGGGGAACCACAATCTGATGCATCCACTCACTCCTCACTCACCTTTCTGGATCCTGTGGTGCAACCTGGCCCAAAAGATCCCACACGTTCAGATTTTGTGCTTTGCTATTGAATGCACTTGCTCTTGGCTTTGACCATTAAAGGATAAGAGAAAACAAAACCATTCTGTCAGATACATCAGCCTGTAAATAATGGCCTCCCTATTCATGACAGGAATACATGACTTTGCAAATCCCCTGAAGCCTTAGGATCATCTTCTTAAATATCTTCATGGCTTTAAACAACAGGAATGGAAGACTAGCAGGAACTCGGTGCAATGTATAACAGAGAAGAAAACGCTAGTCCTGAGTTAAAAAAACAGCGCAAGTTGGAATATTTAGTCTCTATTTTTAGGCATTTAAAACCAAACCTCACCCAGTGGTATTAAAGACTCAACTAAAACAGCAAGAGGCTGAATAAGAAAACTGACGTATAGAGGGAAAGAGGGTTTTCCATAATGGCAAAACTGATAGTTTTGATGCATTTATCAAAACAAGCACGAGGGCTGTAGGTGTGGGTGTGACATTTTCCTCTTCTTATACACGAAAGCTGTAAGTTCTCCCCCGGCTGTTTCAGGCCATGACTCTCTCATGGGCATAGTGCCTCCATTGGAAGTTTTATCCAGTTATGGATTTTTGCTGAAACATTTCAATTTATTGACGTTTTAGGGAAGGAAATAGGGTGCTTTTGCTAAATGCCTTGCTGGAACTGAACCCTTAAATCCATACAGGCTACCAATATATAGATGCTCGATTGCTATCAGATTGGTATGTAACTTCCCATCACTTGGACAATTCCAAAACAGTAGTCCCTAAACTATGCCTCACGAACTATCCATAATCTAATCAACCTTTTCAACATTGCTTATGATTTTAGCAGCCTGTCCCCACCACAGTTAGGTCAGAGAAAACAATGAATAATATTTTATGATATGCAAAATACAGTTGCTGTGTAGAACATTTTTTTCTCAGTATTACTGTTTGTTGGCTAGTAAAGGCTGAAGTCCATCAGCATAGGTAGATTGCCAAACCCTGGGATCCCCAGGAAACATCCCAATAGTCTTGGAGTCCAGCCTGAGCCTAGATAAATGCCATGTATTACAATCAACAAAGCACTTAATTAATGAATGCTGACATTGTACCTTCTGTGGAACAAAGAAAGAGGAAAACATGGCCCTTTGCCCAAGGAGTTTACAGTCTAAATTAGACTGGCAATACAGATCAGATACACAAAACATGCGGAGGGAAGGCTGACACTTCAGCTTTCCCTTTGTCTTATGTAAATACAGATATAGACAGTGGCAGCAGAAAGTAAACTGTCTTACTCCAGAACCCCATGGCTTTTCTCCTGTCCAAAAGAAAATTCGTTTTTGTCTTCCCTTCACCTTCCTGTTGTCTCCTGGCACACACGTGCCTCTTTTCACATGAAGTTATTCCTAATTTAAACTATTTTTTTCACTCTTCCACATTTAGTTCTACCAACAGAGAACGTCTCCCTCCAAAAGCAGATCATCTCACCTGCTCCCCTCATTTGACCTAGGTCATCCACCTCCTTGGTTCAAATACTCTCACATATTTAGATCAAAAGCTCATCTATCCCATCACTCTAAGGTCTTTTCTTACTTTTTCTACAACTCCTAGCAGCCTACAGTCCTTGCACAGCTTACGAGCCCACCTCTATCCAACCCATCTGAACTCTTCCATTTCCATCAAGGCCGTGAGAACCTGTCAAATAAAACCACACTCTTGGACAATGTGCTTAGACCCTGAGGACTGGATGCAGCAGGAAATATTAGCATCTACAAATAGTAGGGATATCAATAAAGTCCTTTATGCAGAGTAAGTTAGTATACCACAGGAACCATTCTGGTTCCTTTCACTCTCTATTCTATGAGAAAATGAAATACACATAGCCTATAAAGATACCATGTACAAATACAGATCACAACTCAAACTGAGTACCTTCCCACCTCCAAAGCATGCTATTTTGGGGACTCAGAGTTGTTGATTTGTTTATCTTCCTTTGCCAAAAGCCCAGAATTCATTGTCAGTCTAAATCCCTCCAGCTGTTCGGTTTCCACCCCCGTTCATTTCCTTTAAAATACTCTTCACTCAGGCTTAGTGTTACTTAGTTCTATTTCTTTTTTATACTGAGAAATTTAAATGTACTGAAAAAGAAGTGTAATAAAGCCCTAAAAATTTTAGACATGAATAAGTGACATACAAATTCCTATTCCCTGCAGTTCAGAAAATTGTATCACCATGAGCAATATTGTAATTATCCTCTCTCCTATTATGACTGACACAAGGAAGTGGAAATATCTACTTCATGCTAGTGGAAGTGGACAGACCTGAAAGAAAAAGTAGGAAAAAACTCCCCCAACAAGCTAACAACAGAACAATGCAACAAAAATAAACCAGAAATAAAGATATTTTTAAAGTACTTACCCAGCATCAGTGCTATTGCCGCACAGTAACACATCTTCTGTACCATTTTTTATGAAATAGTTCACTGCAACAGATATAGAGAAACAGCTTTTAATAACTACATTCTGGGAATGAACACATTTAAAAATATCATACACCAACCAGCATATTCAATTGGAACAGTAACTGAGAGATGAATGGCATGCTTTTGCTTTGTTTTGCTGACTTTGATTTCTACAATTTTTTAAAACAAATATATTTTTTCAACTCTTTAAATACTTGCTGTTTCTATTCCAAATCTGACAGTTTTACTAAGATGGCATTGGGTCTGTGGGCAATGTTTGAATGATACATGGTCCATGTCCCTGGCTGTTTGAGAACATTGTTACTGAATTCAGTACAGCACTATGTACTGAAACCAAACCGTAAGCTTGCCTGTAAGTTTTAGGCTCTGTACTGTTAAGGCATGTATGAACTGAAATTTGTAGTAGAAATTCCTGACTCAGTTCAAAATTGTTACCAGCTATAGGTCAAAATGCAATAATGCTAACAAAGCAGCCCACCCCCCCAATCTGGTGGATTCTCCTCAGCATAGAAAACACACACTATAAAGCAAAAGAAACAGAAAAAAAGCACCCTGTTAAATATCAAACAAACTAGGAAGTATTCATAAAGACAAATGTTTATCAACATAGTCATCTATAATGGCAATGGAGAGAGACAGACACTTCTCCAGGGAAACTCAGAAGAGTAAGGTAAATTTAAGTGCTCTGGATCATTCCCTGCTTGACTATCACTGACTCTTAAGGAAATTAACATCACCTAAGGCTAATGAGAGCCTTTGTGTACAAACTCTCTCTTCTCTCCTCAGTTAACAATGCCTAACATTCAGAGAAACAGAACAGGAGGCCAGCTTCTCAAATGGAAAAAGTAAAATCAGTTTTCCAGAGAGAGTCTGAAGAAAAGGAGATGCTGTAAGGAGCATCTCTAAAACCTGTATGGCAGCATGGAAGAATGGATAAAAGCATTGATCTAGAAACCTAATACATGCAAAGTGGAGACCAGCTGCTGACTGATGGCAGGTAGATAATCAGGTGTGAATTGCTGCAGCAGAGAGGACATGATCCCCTGTTGATGGAAGACATGACGGTGGCAGCACTATGCAGCATGTGTTTGTGAGCAGAGGGGCCTCTGCAGATAATGATCAGAAGAGGTTCTCCATTCTAGGCTAACCCTCTCCTGTGAAATGTTTTTAAAAAATCAAGAGTGACAGCTTATCCAGGCAGGCTATGCAAAGAATGCTCAATGGCTCAAGCCACCGAACAGATGTGCTGTGGCTTTCTCAATAAGCTGCAAGCAGTGGAAAAGCCCTGCCCTGCTGCATGCCAAAAGGGAATTACTGTCCATGAGCTTGTGGTTATGAGGGCACGTGATAGTGTTCACAAGTTATCAGAGCATATATCCTGCTCAGACTGTATGCTTTTCCACTTTGTCTTACATGTATGTTTCCTACAGAAACATCTTGACTGACAGCAACACCCAGCTGTTCAGTATGGTTAAAAATCTGTGATTAACGACCAAAGAAGGCGAAAGGATGCCATGTCTTCAATTTCCCTTCACCCTCCACTTCTGCTGGTGAAAGACATCTGCTTTTCCCAAGACAGATAATATCATATTTGTGATACACAGTGTTAGGGACACAAACCCATCAGACCACTTTGTTTAAGGGTTGACTGAAGCTCTGGAGCACAGTGATGGTTTAAGAACAAACTAACACCTCCTGGGCAGTCAAATCAGAAGACAAGAAGAGAGTCAGTGCACAGAAATAAGCAGGAAAAGTAGACTCTGTGTACAAAAAAGAAATTTAAAATCTCAAGGACAAATAATGTTCTGTGGTGTGCTGTTGTGTGAAACCTTTTTATTTCTAAGACAAGTGATATGGTAGGTGCCAGAGTGCAATGAACTGCATGCTGAGGAACTGGTACTTAGACGCTGCTGGGAGGGGGTATCTTAACCACAGTCTGCAACTGCACAACAGAGCATCACAGCTAGAGTGCCAAACCTCAGGCCAAGGAAAAGACAGTCTGGTGATTCCCTATTGATAAATGAAAGACAGATTACAGTATTGTACCCAGAGAGACAAATTGTTGCATTATCAAAAATGCACACAACAATCAATTTGTCATTCAAAGAAAGTTGGTCTGGATTTCAATCAAGCATGCCAGGCAATCAGAGGTCTTTAAGAAGCAAACGGTCATTACTCTTGCTTTTAAGAACAAACCACTTTAGTATCATATTACCCCATGGCCTCAGCTTTCCATCAGTTAACTCTAACATGGCCATAAAATTCCTTTTTAATTTTTTAATTCAGCTTTACTGAAATGTTGATGTCACAACACAGTTATAGTGTATACAATGCCTTTTAGGAACTTTTCTACTGGGATTTCCAGATTAAGATAACTACTTGATCATATTAAAAGAAATAAAAAGAAATGGTCAGAATAACTCCAGCTTCATATCAGTTTCTGATCAGTCACATTATTTACTCCATTGCTGCCCAATAAACTCATCTATTTTTCAATAATGCAGAACATTTCTTGCCAGTAAAAAAATCAATAGAAATATGTTTTCTAATAACCAGATGCTATCTTCTCCAAAACATACACACAGTTGTGCCTGAGCCTTATAAATACACACCAACACCCTGTATCTCCAGTGCTCCTGATGTAGTATTATTTGTGTTAGGTTGATTCTCTTGCCACTAAAAAGGTGTATGATGAGTCCATATGCAGGTGTTGTTTTCCCAAGGGTTATGTTTTAGAGGTGTTTTAGAAGTTCAGTAAAATAATCCTGCAAAGTAAGTTCTCACAAGCAGCTTATTACCTTCTTACAGAGTTTTGTCTGCCTGCAAAGGGCAGTGAGATAGCGGGAACTGCTTCAGCCAAAGTGGCTCAAGCACCAATGACAGAAAAGATGTGGCTCAAACCCACACCCCTTACTGTGTACACGGTACGACAAAGCTTACACTACCATAACAGCACTGTAAGTAGCACTTGTACCAGTTTGATGGAAAATAATAGAGGTTTACCTCCATCTACTGTTGATCACATCTTCCTTTGTATTAACACACCTATAGCATCAAAAAATAAGCACTCCTCTAATGAATTCCCTTAATTGGTTTCAGGAAAGGGTTAATAGCAAATATTACTCAGCACAGTTGTTATACTTTACATTATTACTTGGTAGGGACACCTTTGATGGTAGTCTTTAGATGCGACACAAAGCCCAGGCAGCAAAACTCCATCACTGTATACTGGAGTAATGTCTGCTTTTCCCCATCACCAGTGAAGGGACCTTATACTAAACACAGCCCAGGAAATAATGTTCACTAATCCACTTCAGCTACATTTACATTAACCCAGAGTAATTCAACCTCTCCAACAGCTTTAGAGCTCCTGGCTTTCAAGGGACACCAAGAAGCTTGGTAGCAGCCCTAACCACCAGTGTCACTTAATGATTAAATTTGTAACAGCATTATGAAGATGAAAACCTATCACCCCATTCTTTCCTCATCTAACACCATGAGTTGCTGTGTCTCCTACAAGACCATGCCCTATCTCCTACACTGTTTAAAGCACATAGCATTGACCTTAGTTTTAAGGTTGCTGTATGCAAGTAGTGAGGAAATATACAAATTCCTGTAGAATATTATTTCAATGTCTTCTTTCCAGTCAATTCCTCAAGCTTCTCATCATTCCTGCTGTTTCATTCTACACTTTTTCTGGTTTATCAATATCTCAGGTTTCTGCATTGCTCCCTCCCATTCCAGGTAATTCTATCAGAGGAAACATTCACAATGGCTCCAGTTGTCAAGTTAAAAAATAAAGTCAAGCATCCTAAAAAAAAAAATATTCTAATTAAAACATTACAATTATGCTCCAGCTTATACTTTTCACGCCTACATCACACCACTGAGAAAAAAGCCAATGTATAGAGCTGCAGGGCAGAAGGCCTCTTCATTTCTGTGCAAAGGAAAGGAAAACTTTCCCATTCTGAAAAATAAAAAAGGTTAGAGTCAGCTTCAAAACCAGTTGCTGAATCTAGCTTCTGTTTGTCCTTTGAAGACCAAAGTGAAATGTTATTTTGACTCATCTTGCAACAAATTCTTTCCAATTTGAAAAAAGCCCTATATCACACTTGCATGAAGAGCAGCATTCAAATATCATTAGTCACTACTCAGAGAAGAGTCCTCTGGCTGACTTTCTAACAAAAACTCCAGAGAGGTGTCTGTTATCTCAGACTATTTATTGCAGCCACACGAGTGCTTGCTGGTTGGAGACTTTCTCCCTGTGCTGTGGCTGGCACAAAGCACTGACAGCCATCAAACCTCCCGATTCCAAATCTAAAATGCCATTCAGAAAGCCCCATCACCTTACAGTTGTGATACATGACACAGAAACAAAATAGATAACACCCCCTTGTCACCCTTTCGCCCACCGGCACAAACACACTGTACCTCCTGGTAATACATAATAATTAAAACAAATCCTTGCTGCACTTGATGTGTGCACACTGTGTCACACACAGTGAAGTCTCTAATAAATGAAATTGAGTTTGAAAATGAAAAACATGCCTCACAAAAGCAATGGAACAGGTTGTATTAAGGGTATTATTAGGGAAGAATGCTTGGGAATAAATGGCACTTCCAGTTAGTTCTTCCCTGCTAAAAGGGGTTGCGAATAATTATAATAATCAGTTACTCTCCTGCTGCTCATCCCATGACAGAGGATCTGGCTGTCCTCTGCTGTCCCCTGGCATTTGCTGCTGCTGGCCTTTCTGCTGGGTATTCCCTTCTCTTTGCTTCCCGTTCTTCCCTCCCTTTTCCACCCGGCACTTGCTTCTAGCCCAGCTTTCTCATGCCACCTCACTCATAACCATCTGGAAGGACATTTGCAAAACTTTGATTAAAAGCAGATCAGGACAAGTTAATTGTGTGGATGGCTGGTGGGTAGAGGGGGCAGAGAACAAGAGGCCAACTTTTTTTATTGAGAAAATTGGCTGATCCATGACATTAGGGTAAACACA